AACTAGAACAGTCAGACAGAAGATAAAAGGAATTCAGGTTGGAAAAGAAGAAGTAAAACTACCACCCTTTACAGATGTGTTATAATAGAAAACCCTCGAAATTCCACCAGGAAGCTACTAGAGATAGCAAGTGGCCCCGTGAAGTGGCAGGCTACACAATTCACACACCCAAATCTGCTGCAAGTCTATTTACAAGTCCCGTGGTGGTGGTGGTGGGGGGGGGGCGTGAAGAACACAGTTCCATTTACACTCCCATCAAAAAGAATCAAAGAGGTAGCAATAAACTTGATCAAGGAGGTTAAGGCTTTCTACAGGGAAACCTCAAAGGCACTGACAGAAGGTACAGAGCTGCATGAAAAGAGAGAGAAGGGTCATCAAATTCATGGGTAGGGGCAGTTTACATAGTCAAATAGCTTCTTTTTCACCAAAAGACAGATCCAGATGTAATGCCTTCTCCATTAAAATTCCAATTACATTCCTGAAGGAAATAGAACAAAATCCTGAAATGTACATGGAACACTAAACAACTCTGGACACATGAAGCACCCTGAGAAGCAAGAACACTGGGGGATCAAGTTACCTGATCTGAAACTGTCTTATGAAACAACAGTGATTAACACAACCTGGTGCTGGAAGAACAGACCCCCAAATCAGCGGAACAGAAGAGAAAGCCTACAATACACACACACACACACACACACACACACACACACACACATACGGTGACTTGAAAAAGGATGAAGTTGGAGCACGCTTTAACTCTGTACACAAAAATGAATTCAAAATGGACTGCAGACTTGCAAGACCTAAAACTGTGAGATACACAGAACAAAGGCATAGATGACATCTTCCAGGACATGAAAGATCAAGGTATTTGGGGAGATTCTACTCCTAAAATGAGGGAATGAGTCAAAACAATTGGAATTATGTCAAGGTCAAGGGTTTTACAGAGAAAGAAAATACCAGAGATGCGAAGACATCCCACGATGTGAGTTCACAGCCACGGTATACAAAGGACTCGTCCGACAGAACATAAAATACAAGCCAGTCAATGACACACGGGCAGCGGGCTTGGACAGACATCTCCCAAAGCAGCTGTCCAGAAAACCGACAGGCACAGTTAGTGTCAGCCCTCACATCTTATCTGGGAAACAGAAACCAAAACAATCAGATACTGTCTCACACTGTGACAATAGCAAAGTCAAAAAGCCCCCCAGCAAGCAGTGCTGGTGACATGTGGACAAAGAGCAACTCTTGACACTGTGGGTAGGCTTGTAAGTGGGTGCGACCCCTCGGGACAGCGGAGTGGCTCTCTGTTAAGAAGTGGAAAAGGGACAGACTACCTCCCCTAACCTCCGGAGCTCAGGAATCCCCGCATGGGAATGTGCTCGCCTTTACTGAAACGATGACAGTCTCAGGACACCTGCAGCCCCTGCAGCGCTGCGACCTCATTAGCAAGCAGCTGCCCCCTCAGAGGCCCCCCCATCTCCTACCACTAGTCACTAGCCCCGCCCCCTACCTCCAGGGGTGAGTCTGGCTTCCCTGGTTACTGAGCTGCATTTCCAGGGCTCATGGGGACAACCCGGAAATTCTTGGTATTTCAGAGGTGTGTGGAATTCTGGAAACACAAATATGCTCTGATAAGACAGATGCTTACCTAATCATTTGATGTATTCATGTCCTCCACCGAATTTTCTTCACACTCAGAGATCTCAGTATTTTTGAGCATTATGGAAGCTAAGCTTAACTGCAAGTAAACCAAGCTTTCCCAATTGATGAAACTGTTTCCATCAGCTTTTTTAGATGAGCTGGCTAAACCATTGCTTCCGTGAGCTCAATAAAGGCTTCAACTAGTCAAGGAGAATATTACAAAAAAGAAGTGAAGAATGGACACACCATGTGCCATCCGACTTGGCATCTACGGGTCGGCGCTGTCCAACCCCACATCTCCTCTGTCCGAACATGATGTCATCAGCTCAGAACACGACACGTTCCACAATGTTCACTGCCTGATTGATAAGCTGAGGGCCGGGGATGACCCACGGGCCTCTGACAGAGGCCGGGTCAGGGACTGGTGGTCTGCCCCTACAGAAGGCTACTCGCCTGTAAGGAAAGAGGACATGTTATTCGCAGGAAAGGAGCTGGAGGGGACTGCACAAAGCCAAGTCAGCCTCACAGAAGAGTGACTTCACATTTATGAGTATTAGGAGTAATAGAAAGAAACAAAGTAGACGAACTGACACAAAGCAAAGTAATTTGAAACTAGTGGACACAGATAAAGGAACTGAAGTTAAGGGGGAGTCAAGGCAGGGAAGGAAGACGGGTCTAAAGTGCATTTAGGGAACAATGGGGGATATTTGGGGTTTCTTTGTTGTTTCCCCTTCAAGAAAGCAAAAGGAGAATAAAAACCACACAAGCATCTTTAATAACAAACAAAAACAAACCCGTGTCCTTGCTCTCTCGGGCCCCTGCGGACATCTGAGTGTGTGACCCAGATAGGTTTCTGTGGCACCAAGAAATGGTGGGAAAGAAGGAAAAAGGAGAAAGCAGCTGATTCCAAGTTCACTTCAGCACAGACTCTCGGGGCTTGCGGATGTGAAGGAGCAGGCCGGTGCGAAGCGGCTGACTTCCCTTTCTGGCTTGGGGAATTGAGACAAGAAGGCTTTTGCTGGCCTGGAAAAAGAAATGTTGCCCAGGAGCCTTTGGGGAAGCGGGGAGAACAGGTGGGTTTGGTCGGGGTGAGCCCGCCGAGGCTCAAGGACCTCCAGAAGCGGGGCTTGGAAGGGCAGGCTCATGGGGGAGTCTGGCGCCCAGGTGAGAGGCACCCGTGCAGACAGCCCCGGGCCGACTCCCACCTTTCTGGAGTCGCAATCTCTTCCGGAGAAGGCCAGCCAGCCCCCGTCTCCGCAGAAATTATCAACACCCACACTGGGTTAGGGTGGGAGGATAGTGAGCATCACGCCAGGCCTGAGGCTTCACTCTCCTGAGGCCGATGGAAGCACACAAGTCGGACCATAAAACACAGCAAGAGCCAACGCAGCCCCCCACCTTGCCAACTGAAGAATCCCCGGGGAACTTGCCAAAATGCGCCTCCCTCTGCCCTGCTCATTCCGAGCCTCCAGGGGCCAGCCCTGGAGACGAGACCTTCACAGCAAGCATCCGAGAGCAGGTGCACAGAGCAGGCGCGACAGGAGGAGCAAAGAACACCGTCAGAGTGGCAGAGAAAAAGGAACATTCCAGAAAAGAGGGGACTGGGCAGGGTCAGATGCTTGGCATGCCAGTAAATTTGGCAATGAGGTCGCCACGGGTGACCTTATAGAGCTGTTTGAGTAGAGAAATGAGCCAGGCTGCCCAGGTCCAGGGAGAAGGGGTCAAATATTCTGCAGGTCAGGTGAGGGGAAGGTTATGAAAAAGACTGCTTTTTCGTAGGATGACAAAATATGGAGCGGGCTGATCCAGGGTGAAGCAGAAAGCGTGAGTGAGAGGACCAGTGGCTGGCTGGCCTCCCCAGAGTCATTTGTTGCCCTCTTACTGGGTGCCCCACCACCCAGATGGGGCTTCACATGCCTCAACTTGCTGAATTCTCATGGTGAGCCTCGAGGGAGTCAGGCCAGGTAGGGCAGACTAAGAATCAGCCTAAGGTCACCCAGTCAGTAAGGGCAGAGCTTACTGCCGGCGGTCTATCTCGGGCCCCTCAAATTTTTCATGCTGCAAGCCCAATCCAGACTCACCCCCTACCACCCCACTTTAAACTAACCCAACACCGTCATGAGATTGTGGCTCACAAATTCTGACTCTTCTCCCTGCCCCGTTTTCTGGCCCCTGGTCTCAGGCCCAACATCTGAGAGCACCTCCTACTTTCTTAACCTCTGGTGCCGGCGCCACCATCTAGTCTCTGGACATGAACCCCTCTCCTGGCTTCCCATCACACCACAATAAAGATCACGAGGACCCTGGGGGCCCCTCTCCAGCCTTCCAACAACCACCACTTCCTCTTTCCCTTTCCTGAATTCTGCTCTTCTTCAAACACTCAGCGTCTCCTGTGCCGCAGGCCTGGAGTGGCCTCTGTCACGCCTCCGCCAGGGGCTCTTCCCCAGGCACTGGCCAGCCCATTTCCTAAGGCCCACATGGGCCTTGCTGGCCCATCAGAGGCCCCTGGCCTGCACACAGCACACAGCGCACCGCCAACCCTCCCCACCGGCTTGCCCAGCTTTACTGTCCTTCAGGGGACTTCAGCTGCTCGGATCAGATCGCACGCTGCGCGGCCCACCCCCAGCGGTCACCCCCAGAAGTCTCAGAGCATTGCCCCACATTCAAGGCCTCCCTTGACCCTCTGGGGGTCCCCTCCAAGCAACCCACAGGGAACCTCTGCTACAAGCCAACAAGCCCCCCAAAGCGACCTGCCTTCCCCTGCAGCCCATGCTCCCCTCTGACCGGCAGCCACTCCCAAAGGCCACCTCCTGGGGAGTGTCAGCTGCTCTCCGGTCAGTGCTCAGACACCAGCCTGAGCACTGTGGTGGTTAACGGCTGGGGTGGGGGCCCAAGAGGCAGTGGCCTGGGTCCAAGATTTCAGGACTTCGGTGAATCTGGTAAAGGTGGGATGTCCCGAACAGGCCAGCCAGAGGCCCAGCTTCCTCCTGCTTCCTCCCGATGTATCCCCCATCAGTGCCCTCTTCTGTCAACCAGGACGGCAGAGCAGCGAGGGGCGACGTCAAGGAAAGGGAGGCCCAGGGAGGCAGGATCCCAGGGTAGGTCACCTACACGTGAACGTGCTGCTTGCTGCTTTCGAGCTGACTATAAACTCAAGATCGCTCTCCAAGGTGACAGGTCACCTCCAGTCCACGCCTCCTGCCCATCTCCTGACCACGAGCCTCCCCCCTCCCACCTGTCTCGACCTGGCCTGCACCCTACAATGCTTCTCCTGCCACAGCATGTCAGGATGTATGACGCCACCCCCGGCCCGGCAGTGCCAGGAACCCCGACCCCCGCCGCGACCGCACCTTCATTGTGCTGAGCTCTCCTCCGCTCATCCCGCGGCGTTCTGGTTCCATCGATCTTCCTGAACAAACAGGGGAAAGATGGGCACGTGTTACTGAGGCCCCACTGCCTGACTGACTGACTGAGCAGTCAGACCTGGGAGCTGTCTTGGCGGAGAACGAGGACACGGCACTTTCTTGCCTTACACTAGAGCAGCAGGAACAAGTCAAAAAAACACACCCACTGCCCGCGAGAGCCTCTGGCTCGCGGTCACCGCAGAAACCTTCCCTCCCTGCATCCCCACGCCAGGCCCTCCCAGGTCCCCTGCTTCTGAGACCAGGTCTCCAGCACATACGGGGAGTAGGGGTGTGTCCGGGGTGCGATCGTCCTCTGTGTTCCTGTCTGAAGCACGTCCTGGGGTGTCATCATCACATAGAACTGACCTGCAGAGAAAGGGGACTGTGCCACAACTGGGGCAGAGTCAGAACCGGGTGGGGCTTCCCTCCCTGCCGGGCCTGCTGCCACCCTGCCTTCCGCCCTGGCCCCTTCCTCCCTTTACCTCCGGCCTGCAAGCTCTGGTCTGTGGTCTGTACGGACACAGCCGTGGTATCTCCCACACTGGACGCTGGGAAATAGGCAAATCGTGCCTCCCCACTGACAGCCTCAGCTGCCGGGCTGCCGCCATTGCTGAAGGGATTTTGGATTACAGCCTGAGGAGGAGGAGGACAGAGTAGGATGGACCCGTGGTCGTCTCGGCTCCCCAACGCGGCCCCCCTGTTGCTGTATTTGACATTTATTGTATTCCTGGGGGCACCCGGCAACGGCTCTGTGTGCCACTGCCCTGCCTCAGACAGCACCGTGGCTCGCCAGGTGCTCGGCAATCACTCTACCTGCCCATTCATTTCTACCTTTAACAGGCTTTTTCCCGTTGGCACCACACCCATTTTATTTAAAAAAAAAAAAAAGTGTTCCAAAGATGGTGCCCACAGTCTCACTGTATAGCAGGATCTGACCCCAGGTGGTCTAAAGGCTGCGTCTGTGTCCCACCTGCCCACTCCCTGATACTCCCCGCGCACAGCCGCTGTCCCCTCTTCTCTCCCCCGAGGGCTGCTGGGCACCTACCAGTGGGAAGGGTGCTGCAGGGCCTGGGGGCACAGAGGCAGCAGCGGGGCCGGGGCGCTGGGATGCGCCATCCACACCCACTTGGGTCACAGCCTGCTGCCCCCCCGCGAAGGCGGCCGTAGACACGACGCTGACAGCGCCTGTCGTGTCGCCCTGGCCGTCCAGCTGACCATCAGTCACCTGGACTACGCGGTATGTCACCTGCAGGGGGCGGCAGAGCAACGAGACCGGCGCTGGGGCCTTGGCAGGGGCCAGGTCCGAGCCCCTCCCAGCCCGCCCGCCGCTCGCCCCTCTGGCCTCAACCCTCCGCCAGTTCGCAGGGCTCGGGCCCGCAGCCTCACCTGTCCTCCATTATTCTCTGTGCGGAACTGGTACTGGATGTTGTGGTCGCCGAACGCCGCCTGCTGGACGCTGGCGATGGCCACCGCCGTCTGCTCCTCCGCCCCAGGGCCGTCCCCGCCTGCGGCCGGCCGGAGGAGGGTAGGGGGGGCGATGAGCGATCCGGAGGGCCAGGGCGCCCCCAGTCCCCGTCCCGGGCGCGGGCCGCACGCAGCCTCGGAGGGACCCGCAGCACTCACCTTCTTGCAGCTCGACGCCCTCCTCGGCCTCGGGTCCCTTGTCGTGACTGCGGGGAGCACGGCGAGAAGAGCGGGTCAGGGCCGTCCGCGCCCCCGCCCCTTTGTCCAGGTGCAGCCTCCCCATCCCGCCCGGCCCGGCTTGGGGCTGGGGCGCCGCGAGGGCCGGGGCCAGGGGTATCAGGCGCGGGTTCCCCCCTCCCTCGCGGCCTCCATTTTGAACTGGGCCCCGCGGCCGCTCGGGATCATGGCGGCCCCGCCGCCGGGCCG